GATGTACCTCGCTATTACCATTGCAGCCATAGTTCAAGTCTCGCTAATAACGTCGCAGGTGAACTTGGTTTCGTTTTCTTTTTCTTTTTCCCACTTCATTTTTTCCACTTAATTAAAAATTATATTGGTTTTCCATGTTTTTTTTACTTTATACCTTTTAACGACTTTTCTTTTTGTTGCAATTTCAACTTCATTTCTCATTAAAGGAATGGGGAAAAGCCCTATGTTCTGTTGTTCAAACAGACATAGTAAGTCTAGTTGTTTATTCTTACCTGAGTGAATTTAATGCCAGTTCTAATGAGTTTTGTATAGATGGTTCCTTAAGGCACACTTTGTCTATGCATTTTCTGAGTGAGTTGATGTGTCGTCGCGGATTTCCACCAAGCTCAGTCAATTTTTCCGCTCGCATGTTACTGGTTGTCAACATCCCAAGCTTTACAAGAAAATAAAGACATATCCATACTGTAAACTATGTGCAGATGTTGTTGAGGATAAGCAACATAATATGCTAAGTAAATGCATCAAGTTAAGAATCTACTGGATCTTGGTTAACCAATTGTGCCTAAAACTTGATCAGAAGTACGAGAAGTTTACTTTATATAACCTTGTATTGGGTAAAAAAACATGTTAGTGGGAGAGCTTTATAGCCTTGCAGCATTTTTCATTTACAAAACATTAATTAAGTCTGAAAATATAGCAGAAATGAATAAGCCATTATATTCGATTTTCACAAAAGAATTAGCATATAGAAATTCAATGAAAAAAATTATGTAAAACATTATGTGGATAATGAATTATATGTACGGGTATATGATAAAAGATATGTGAATAATATTGTTGATTACTAATAAACGGCCTATGGCCTATGGTCTTGAAAGATAAAAATAAGCTCTAGAGGAAAATAGGTAAGTATTAGATACATACGTATCAAGGACTTATAACTGTTACCAGGATAGGCAGCTGGCTGGTTTAAGCCGTCTAACTTGAATTAACCTTATGTGTGGTATAGTTATGCTAATGAACCAGATAAGCACAATCTGCACATGCTCAGAAAAACCAAACTGTCCTCAGCCACACGCGTATCGGCTAGGCGTACAGCTAGGACTAGCCAAGAATTACGGTACGCTTATGCTTCATAAATGCTTATGATAACCTGCTGACATTCTGTACTGCCCAGTGGCGTATCTAGGGGGTTGCGCGGGAGACGCACACCTCTCCAAAAAATTACTCGCACCCAACCCCCCCCCAGTTTCCACCCCACAAAAATCACAGTAAAGTAGTTAAAAATCACCTAAAATCACAAACTACCACCCCTCATCTGATCATCAAGGGCCCCCAATCAGCACCCCACTTCAAAACTTCTAGATACGCCACTGGTACTGCCTGCAATATTTTGAATTTCTATCTATTTTGCACAAGTCTAGCCTGGGTTCCATGCCAAAATGTAGATTACAGTCTGTAGAGGGCCAACCCAGCCAATTTTTTTTACTTTCAGAACATACGCCTTTGGAACGACGGCACACACAAGAGTGGTGCGTTCAGCTTGAATTACAAAAATATAAAAATTAACTACTGTACATACCTGACTGATTGGATTCTGATCGAAATATTCTTCAATGAAACTTTCAAGAAGCTGAAAGAAATTCCAAAATAATCATTGATTATGCAACTTTTGGTAATTACAGTCCACTCTCCTAACACCGACCCTCCTCCAGAGAAGCTACGTAAATTTGTCTGTAAAACATTTGTATTGAACACTTTCCAAACAAGCCTGTTGTAGGCCTAGTTATGGCCTAGCAGTTTAAATAGATGTGGGAAAGCCATGGGTTTGCTATGATTAGCCATGCAAACACAAAAGCCCGTCACCTGCCAATAATGATTTTGAATAAAAATCAAAGTTTATTTTTGGTCAATTAGCACACCCGCCGCCACGAAAAAATAGAAATTCAGAAAAAAATTTATTACGCCCACTGCTGCCTAGAAATCTCCAAAAATTATATATTTATTATATAATTATATAAATTTAAAGCATTTAACCATCCAATCACTACACTGTTTACATTCACCAATAACATTTCATTTTTTTTTTCTCTCCTCTTTGCCCTCCTCTGACGATTTAAAAAAAAATAAGTTCACGAAACAAGGTATAAAGGAAGTCTTGCCTTATTTTAACATATATTATATACAGTACCTGTTCTTTTGCTGTACTGCACAGCAAATTTAATTACCAATAAAACTGGTGCATTTTTTTGTTTTTTTCATGCATTTTCGGTCTGATATATTTTTCTAAACACAACATATTCTTCGCCATCACGATGCCAGTTGCTGGGTCGGTTGTATACATTAAGCTGCGCTTCCTAAACTTTGTCCGTCAATTGGTTAATTTTTTGTGGGGCGGTATGAAAAACATGTGCTTCTGTTGTGATGATGTAAGCTCAGTTTAACTGATAAAGTTCTTATTAAACAGACTTAAACAAATAAACTCCCTCAAATCTAAATAAATCTAACAAATTTCATTCTCTACACGTTTTCTCCATAATTAAATTACCAATATGTTGTTTAAGAAGTATCATAGATTTAAAGATTGAGTGAGGATATGCAATTGCAATTTACACTGATGAACCTAACGACATACGAATCCGCATTAAACGTCTACTGAAATAGTCACCTGTATGTTCCCGAGAAAAGTTGTTAGATGGGTTCAATCACACCTTTCTGATAGATCATTGAGTGTTTACATCAAATGATATCAGTCTGAAATAGTTAAGACTTTGCACGTTGATCCCCAAGGCTCATACGCTTTTACACTTTATTGTACAGATTGTACAGTGGCATGGTATTCAATACCATATTTATGCTGATGACATTCAGATGTTTCCTTCAGTCTCAAGATGTTAACTCCATTTCCTGTGCTTGCACAAGCTCAACAATTGTATTAGAGAGATTAAGCAGTAGATCACTATCAACATGGTCAAGCTTAACAAAGAGAAAACGGAGTTCCTTGTAGCAGTTGAAAATCATTACACGGATGAATCATACCTACTGTTACCTGCAGGTTTGTGGCAAAGGTCATTGAGCCAACGGATTGAGTTTGTAATCTTGGTGTTGTCATAGACTCTTCAATGACCGAAATCTCACAATTGTAACATTTCACTTACTGAAATACCTTACTGAATTGTGCCATATAGTTGTTTGAGCCCTTGTATTGTCAAGACTTGATTACTACAACTCTCTTTTACTTGGATCCAAGCGGTCTGACTTTGACCATCTACAGCATGTCCAGAACTGGGCTGCCAAACTGATCTGTGGTGGTAAGAAGTTTGATCATGCTACACCATACTTACATCCACTTCACTGGCTGCCTGTAAGAGAGTGGGTTTATTTCAAAGTTCTAGTGATGGCTTACAAGTGCATCCAAGGCTTGGTTCCTGACTATCTGTCACGCAGTCTCCCATTACACGACAGGGCTCAGGTCGAGTTCCGACAACACTCTACTTAAGGACTGCCAACCAGACTACTCACTCACTTCACATCAGCAGACATTTTCTTATGTGTTACTACCTTACTGAAACAAATTACCACGCAACATTTGCATTTCAGCCTCTGTTACAATATTTAAGAAAATGTTGAAAATTTGTTTCCTTGTGACTAGGAATTGACTAGGATTACATGCCAACATCATTTGAGTACCTGTGAATACTGTCCTGGCGAGCTTTGTGCCTTAAATTGCTGGGGAACAGTGCAGTGGTGATTGGTTTCATCTGTATTGTTTTATGTTTTTTCTCACTTTCCAGTTTTCTTCAGTTAGTGTATGTAATTTATCGCCAGAGTATATTAGTAAAAAATACAACAAAAAAGCGCTCTGCTTTTCATGAAAAAGTGCTATATAAATGTATGTAGAAATTTGCTCTGAGTTGTCTCCATTTCAGGTTGATTCTAATCGAATTTTAAGGCTTAAAGCGAGACGATTGGCCAAGCGGTTAAGACAGGGAGAACCGAGACATATATATCACAATATCATACCGACACGCTGGCCTATGGTTCCGGTGGTGGAACAAGTCTTCTCGGATAAGTACTCTAAACCGTTGGTCCAGTGTACACAATTGGCTCGTGTGCACTTTAAAGAACCCAGTACATCCTTCGAGAAGAGTAGGCGATTAACCAGGTGTACTGGTCCATTTAAGCCCCTTTGTCCGGCCACAGAAGGAGCATGTTTTCGACAATGACATTTCAATTGTCAAAAGATTATGTTACGCCTAGTTAGAGGTTAATCTTGTGGATTGTATGTGTAGCATTGTTAAAGCTATTGTCAAACCTTGATTGTGCTGTGGAGTCGGGTAGGTTTTAGATCCTTCATCTCCATTGATTTAGACATATCCAAGACAATGTACAGATGCCGCATCTGAAAGAAAAATTAATGTAATATACAATACATTTTATATTAAAATATAATTTTTTATAAAGTATACAAGGACTGAAAAAAATTAAGCACTCTTCACCATTTTAATACCAAAATGTATAAGAGAGTGAAGGCTAGCAATAAGAATTAGGCCAGGTCCTATACTCAAAATAAAGCTGGCTGATCAACACAGTAATTGAGTAACACAATTCATTTCATTATTATTTTGAGGGAGGTGCATCCATATACAAACACACGTACAAGCAATACCAAGCCTAAAAAACAGAATAATTTAACAATTGTTTGCCTCATTCAAATGAAAATATATCATGTGAAGAGACGCAAAAATAAGTTTTAAATAATTATAATAATAATAAGCTTTATTTAAAACACGGAAAACTTGGCTCAACTAACAGTTGTTATTCTGCAAGGCCATGTATACAACCATTTAACCAAAAAAAAAAAAGAAAAAAAAAAAATTAAATAACTTAAAATAAACAAATCAAACAATTGTTTAAAAGCACAAATATCTAAACTAGACTTAAATCTTAAACTAACTTAATTACACTAAACAAACTTGAACAAAACAAAAATACTGTAGTTTATGTAAGAAACTACCATAAAGGTGTTAGCAGTTACGTGTTATTACAATGTCGCAAAAACAATTTCTTAAAATTTTTAACATAATTATCATATATTTAATAAATTTACCATCCCCAGACGAACATTAACAGGTCGATCAAGTAAACGTCTGCGCTTAGCCCTGTGAATGATGTCATCAACTGTGCTTTGCAGTGACCCTTGCTCATCTTCTTTGATAGCTTCCCTACAAAAACAACATATTTTCAACATTCTTGAACAAAATCTTCAATGAAATAATATGATTTCTATGAAAATTCTAGTACATATTTGGACAGAAGCAAAAAAAAATGTAGCTATAGTCTGCACTGAACCGTGGAGATCTATTGGTCCCCGGTTCAATTCCCATCTCTGATCTCAATGTGTTTCAGCTGGAGGGCTGAAATGCTGTAGGTCCCATGTGTATGTTGAAGAATGCAGTACACTCTTCAGAAAAGAGTAAGGGATTGTCTCCTGCTGTACTACCCAATTCACGAGCAAAAGGACTCTACTGGAAACATTTTCTAGAGTTAACCTTGGTGTGTACAAGGTAATTCAACAGAAGGACGCACATCTCCGCTCTCGAACATAGCGCGTGCGTACCAGGGGTGGCACCAGCGGAGGGGGGGGCGGAGATGGCCCCCGTCGGGGGGAAATGGCCCCCCCTGTCGGGGAGAAAAAGCACAATTCGTCGGGGAGAAAAAAAATTATATGTATTTTCTACATATTAGTAGACTCTAAAATCGATTAAATAAGCCTTTGAAACCCCTAAATTTGTTAAAATTTTCGGGGGCCGAAGCCCCCACGACCACTTTCTAAACATTTTAATCGGAGCTCGACCACGCCCACTTTGCTTTCTTTGAGGAAATCTGACCCCTCGTTGGGGCATCGGGGACCTCGGGCCCCCCCCCCTTCGGGCAAATCCTGGCGTCAATTATCAGTCTATGCGTGCCATATGTTTTATGGTGTTAGTTACTATTTTATTAATTTTGAGTATTTCGCACTGTCTGTTACATCTGATTTCTTTTCACCGCGAGCTTGTTAAATGCTTCTATAAACTGCAATTCAATTTTTGAAAATTGACCAAGAAAATCAAAGTTATAGCAATTGAAAATTTAAGAATTTTATAAAATTTCATGTTCTTATGTAACATTAAACTTTCATTTTGACAATGTTGGACTAAGGTGCAAAAACAAACATTTGAGTAGATACAGAACATTTATTAATTTTTTCTGCGAAGTGAGTCTCATGAACGACAATACACCACAATATCAGTAAAATTAATGTTGAAATGAAGAATATAATTTCAGTCTAATGTTAGTGCAAAATATCATTAGGCCTTTGTAATCACCACACGACGCGCGATTATCATGGCAACTAACACGTGTGTGGGTAATTCGTCACGTACGCTGATGGTTTATGGTCTGGTTGCTATGGTTTTTGTGACATTCAGCGTGTAGGGACGCACATGCGCCTAGAATGTTGATGCCAGAGTTATAACCTTTGATGTCCCAAGATGTGCATCCTTCTGTTGAATTGCCTTGGTGTGTATTACACAGAAGAAATCCAATCCAATCCAATTTTCTCAACAGTCCACCTCACAGGTGCTTACCATGTACGCTCATAGTCTCCCTCCCAAGTGTATGCCTTTTCTGGTTCCTCGTCCATTTTCTTTCAAATAAAAAAGAAACAAGTATGAGTAGGATTTGGCTTAAGCAATGACCTTCATTTTGATTGGTCGGGCCTAAGCAAACTTCTCGCCAAGCACCTAGGGCTTTTAATACAAAACCCTTGAATTGATATAATGCTTTTGCTATACTAAGAAGAACTGTATAATAAAGAATGAAGAGGAAACAATTCCAAACCGACGCTTCCAAAATAATATCTCAGCAGTGCTATGCTATATATTTTATTTGTATTTATTTTATTCAATTTCCAGGTAGACCTATTAATTTATATTTAATTGTTCCAAGGAATACAAGAGTAATTTAAAAAAAAACACCAAAATAATCATATGGTGCTGCCCTAGTTGCCCAACATCAACGATTATAAGGTAGTCGATATTGGTACTTTCAAAATGTTGCCTCTGTGTACTGGATTTTTAACTATTCAATATAAAAACATTAATATTAGTAAATACTTTTTCTTTTCGTCAAATGTCACTACGCCTCAAAATAGTTTTATTATATTTATTATTATATTAAGGATTGATCATAATTTTATTATTGATAGTAATATTAGGGCTATTAAGAATGGTAATATAGATATTATTATACTACTTCAATACAATGTATTCCATGCTTGAGAATAAGCTTTTTTTTCCCACAAACAAGACAGGTTGTTACACCCCTGTACTGTAAATATGTTCAATAAATAAGTAAGTAAATAATGGTTCCAAAAAAAAAGAAATAGTCGTGACAACAGTTGTACTTTTACTGAGACAAAATATAACAAAAAGGAAGCTGTACGGTATGTTTGCACATACCCTGTACACTACACGCAAATTCAAAGTAAAACTAATGAATAGCTTTACAGAACATGTAGGCGAACTAACAGTTGAGCGCAGAGACAAGGTCTCCAATCCAAGGCTTCAAAAACTCCACAAACGAACTGCCAGTAAATGTCAATACACTTATAGTATACTGCTTATGCCGACGTAATATGAACACCAATCTATTCCTGCCTCATTGTTGTTCACCCAACCTATTCCCGCCGTATTTTTGTTAGCCTAATTACTGTCGCTGTAAAGGAAATTAAGTTTCATCTAACCTTCCCATCATGCTCCGTTTCTCAATGTAAAGTGACCTATGATTTTTTCAACGTAAATTAGCTTTTACATACTTTTTATTGATTGTTTTTGCTAGATAATTAATCTGTGAAGTTGATCATAATAAGGTACATTCTTGATTGTGTAAACTTTAGTTATTTTATTTTTGTAATGAATACACATAGACATATTTAATATTTGTTTACTACGGAAGAAAGTATTGCAAATTTGCATCCCATACTCATAGGCTCTGATAATCCAGACTACGAAATACTAAAATTAGCACGGAACTAAAATTCGTGCTACACACCGTGCTTAGCTGGCATTATTATTAGGCCCATTATTACTATTTAGTAGTAACCCTGCAGGCCTAGCCTAGCCCCATACGCCTAGCAAGCAATGAGGCTTGAGCTATCTAGCCTAGGCCTAGCCTAAGTAGAGAATATATAAATACACTATTTATTATATAAGTTAGGCCTATGGGCCTAGGTCTATTTCGATTTAATACCTGAATTTAATATTTTTAACAGCAGAGAGCTGCAGCTGAGGTCCGCTTCTTCGGCCGCCGCGCCGACATTTGACAACATTTTTATGGAGCGCCCTTTGGGCATTATCCCACACTCTGCATGCTGCAGTGGTATTATAGGCCTATTTTAAGCCTCTTAATAAACTTCTTCAATATAGCCTAGAGTGTTATACCTGTGCTCAATGTATTTCTTTCATGTACCTTATTATTTACTTATTTATTTCAGGTAGGTGGGTTTTTATTGAAGCATTACTATTATTACTTAAACAAAGTTGATCAGGCAGTTCAAATGCTACATATTCCATTGCTTCAGGACAGGTACCCGACTGTGCAGAGAACTTTTTCAAAAATTGAAGAATCACACTCTCACAGACTACACTCAACTACGTTACTTCCCCCTCTCCTTATTTATAAAATAAGTATAGTCAATAAATTAATTGTTAAATATTCTGATCATGTTTATAATAATACATATAAATTATAAATGAAAATATACTGAATGATATGATGAATAACAGGTGGGCCAAAAAGTTAACAGTATGGACGCCATACGGAAAAAAAAAAAAAGGTCCAAAAAGTTTTCTCATTATCATTAGACTTTAAAGCCAAATCCGAAATAAATAATGGAAGTAGGCCTATGCCCTTTCTGTGGAATAGTTAATTTTATTGCGGTAGTAAATTTTATTTGACCCACTTATCAGAGCTATTAGCTTTACGTTGAGGTACGGTACTATCAAAAATTGCCATGAGTCACTTATTTTTGAAACATTCCCATGGTAAAGTTAACGTCATCAGTTTCAAAACAAACACTCAATCAATTGTGAAAAATATTGCTATTGCACTTGAGACATCTATTTTTGAATAGTAACCAGGTTATTATTTATTTCAGTTAGATTTAGTGTAACTCTAATTGCGTCTTGATCACTACATTCTTATGATAGACGTTTGTTTACTCAACTTTTTATATACTTTAATGTAGTTTTTAATATAGTAGCTTTAGAATTGTTTATATTGTCATTTTTTTAATGTTTAACAATTTTCTAAAGACTTGCAATTGCAAAAATTAATTTTTATTTGTATACATTCTATTAAGTAATTGTGCAATTTTAAATTGAAGGTTTTTTTTTTCTAATGTCTTTTTATGTTTGCTGCTTATATTGTAATAAGAATTGTATTTTTAATTTGATGGAAATATATATATATATATTATATATATATATTATATATATATATATATATATATATATACGTAATATATTGGAGTACTGCGTGTAACATGTTTGATTGCATATATTATACAATAATATATATAATATATTATATTATATAGGCCTACAAATAACGTTTTACTATTATACAATCTATTACATTCTTTATTTTACAACAGGATACAATAATTATCGATTAATTGTCATTTATTGTGTTTCACTACCGTATTGACTGACTTAATTCCGATTAATAATTGAACATTATGGTAGATGGAGTAAATACAACAATTCTCAAAATGAATTCACGCGAATATGTTAGAGACCACAGTATTATGCGCCTATAAATTGATTGATTGATTGATTGAATAGAATGTAGTACCTCATTATAATAATAACTTCTCACTAATAATTATTTACACTGCAATATGCCAACAAATTAAAAGGTATTGTCCTAGCAACCAACCAATTGGTGGTCGCGATGTGAGTGTACTAGCGCGTGGAAACGACGTCAGTACCGTGTTATGTTTATATTTATTTTGCGTACACGGCAGGCCTACTCGTCTTATTAAAGATAATCTAGAGTTTGTGGTACGAGGAACAAAAAGGATGATTTCTTTTATTACCGTCGATAATTAATGCAATGTCTTTCCCCATGGATGATGTTTTTCAGGTAAGAAGGCAGCAGGTTCTAGTAGAAACGATAATATATTTCACAATAGTCATCCATTCTCTGTAAATTATCTTTTGCTTTAAATTTTTGAATGTCTTGCAATAAGACACTTATGATGCAATCATAAAATTTGTTATGTCAAGCGTTGACAAAGACTACAGGAGTAGCCGAAATATTCGCCTAATAAATTTTAGTGTTTCTAAAGTCAACATCTTACGTATTTGAGTTTCTTTACTGTTACGTTATATTATATTCTACAT